CCCCAAAACCCCAAAACCCCAAAACCCCGGTTAGGCTCTGAGGGATTGAAAGGGATGAGATTTAGTATTGGATTTTTTAATTTTATGTGCAATTTGTTATATCAAAGAGCTATTATCAAGAAACTAGTTGTACAAGATCAAACCCACATTCTTTGAGGACAGATTTTATCTCAGATTTATTCATTCCTCAATTCTCAAGCTTGATTTTCTTCAAGCTTTTAACAAAGTCTTCCTCTTGAGCTAGACCTCTCATCAGATTGCCAAAGTGAGACTCATTGAGATCCCAATCTCCATAGGCTGTGTGGCCACATCCATACAAGTCTAAGCACTCTATCGAACTACCCTTAAGCTTTCCTGAGAAAGAAGGGACTGAAGAAAGCTCAAGCTTTCAGTTATAAAATCCAAACAACTTCTTATCTACATTAGCATTGAACAGAGTGACTAGGTTATCCTGACTGATGTTAAACCTATTAATCACGACCTTGTTCGTCACTCTCTGGCTCACTTGTACTAGTTCATCCAAGTAAAAATCCAATGGATTGTTAAGCTCAGATAATGAGTTGAAGTCGAAGCATTTTACTTGACGAGGGAAAGATTTCTTCAAAAAAGTCTTGGCTTCCTCGCATTCATAAGGAATATATCGGAGATTGAGACTGTCAACATCTGGCATCCTCTTGTTTAGTAGTTTGATAAGCTCTAAGTGATTAGGGTTGTTTAGCTTCAGTGATAGTTTAGATTTCGGTCCAATCGCTTGATATTCTCCATTAAAGCAGTTGTTGATTAATTGATAGAAGTAGTTAAAATCTGAGTACTCTGATACATTCAAAGAAGAGATTATAAATTGCTTAGCCTGGTCATACCTCTCAAGTATTCTCTTTTGCTCTTCCTCTACATAGCTTCCTTCTTGTAAGACCTCTTCAAGCTGTTGCTCGACTCTGGCTAGTTCTTCTTCCATTTCTTCCTTGTGTTGAGCTATCTCTTCCTTATCCTCCTCTAAAGTACTAACTTGTTGGGCACAGTCTAGTTCAAGACTTTTAGCCAAGCTGTGAAGACTGGCTTCTTGGGCTTTTTGGAGATCTTCAAGCTCAGATTTGTGGGTGGAGAGTAAGTGAGATTTTAGAGTGGCGAAGTGCTGAGAGGGGTCGTCGAGATGGGGGGTTATGAGGGTGATTTCGGAGGTGGCTGAATGGGTCTAGAGGGGGTAGGAGAGATGAGGAGGCGTGGTGTTGAGGGATTTTGGGTAGATGTGAAGTAATTTGTGAAATTGGGGTTTTGGAAGATGATAAATTTTAATTATTCAAAATAAAAATTTCTTTGTTTTTATTTATGAAAAAATAGAAATTATTAAAAACAACAAAGAGTCGTTCTAAATAAGTCAAGCTTTATAAGAATCATTCCAAAAACTTCTTATTGATCCTAATCAACTCTTCATGTACCTAATCAGAAGCGTATTAAACATCATTAAAGGAAAACTCCTGAGAAAATTTACCTTCTGTTCCCAATCCTCTACTATCTTATTTGTTTCACACTCAATTTCTTTTTTCTTATACTCAAATTTTTCCTCAAAGACCTTCTCACATCTCTGTTTTTCCAGGGAAGAATCTTCGAATGTAGTTGGATCAGTATCATGATATACTCCCGAGATGTACTTATCAGTAGTGTACTTTCTAAACAAGTCTTCAGCCTTCAGGTCATCATACAGATCTTGAGCCTCATTCTGGATATCAACGTATTTAAAATACTCCTTTTGTAGTACATGTCCTTCCAGTTGACTTCTGAGAGCGCCAACTTTGGCCTGATAAGCATCTACTAATTCTTGGTGGGCCTCAATCTCTCTGTTGTTATTAGTAGTTTTGTAGTACTCTAAGAACTTGTGCAGAGCCACTTCAACGCATTTCAGAGTGTGATCTGTAAGCTCATGGGTTTCTAGCTTGATAAATCCCTCCTCAATGTCTCTATTTTCAAGATGGGTGGAGCATTCGTAGATGTCATAATATGGCAGATAGTATTCTGATCGAGACCCTCAGATTTCATTTTTGCAAAAGGGAATTTCCATTTTTACAGGAATTAAATATATTTTATTCTCCCAAGATATTGTAAATAGAGAGGGGTTTTGGGGTTTTGGGGTTTTGGGGTTTTGGGGTTTTGGGGTTTTGGGG